GGGTACTTTTCATCCATCATGTTTTTTCTGCACATGAGTAAAATGTACCCATTTTATTGATTCGTTTTTTTTTGCTCCAGGCTGCTGTCAGCAAACGTGTTAAAAAAAATTCAAATCAAAAAAATACTTCATATTCTTTATTGCACATAAACACTTAATCATAATCACAATACATATTACATAAATAAGTAGAATTTACCCATAGGCAGGGTTGCAGACATTCAAGCTTAGTATTTTCCCTCAGAGCGGTTTCACATTCGGTCCAGATCACTGCTGGGAGCTGTCCACGAGGGATGCTACTGATCGAACTGACCCTTCCGCATGTAAATCACATTTTAATCACAGATGATTTTCACTTACCTAAAACGGAACACATTTGTAGAACATATACAATTTACATCATAATTGCACTTTTAATATTTACCTCGTAACAATAGGTACCAGATCGTGTCCAGATCTTCGCTATTCGGGGTTTTTCGGCTTAACTCTCATCATCTTTCTGTGTCTGATAGTAAAGAAAAAATTAATCACCCGGCCGTAGCACTATTTCCAATAAACTTTTCCACCTCAATAAGCATTAGCCGGAACAAACTAATATATCCATTGGACCTCCGTCACATAATCGCAGTACTCGTCTAAATATTTTAAATGTGATTTTTACCGATTTGCACGCAATATAAAAATGATTAAACATTCTGTCCTGCGCGTCCAGTTCTTTAGAGATGTCTTGAAGTTAATTGAAGACACATATTTAACCATTTTAACAGTAGAATATATTTTCAAAAATGGGGAAAAAGTACCCGCTTTTCGTTTTTGAATAATACCCATTTTTTGACAGTTTTGAATAACTTAAAAAAATGAATACAAGAAACTCATTTAATGGGTACTTTCGAGTTAGCGTGTAATCTACTGTTTGTTTTAGTTTGGGTTTTCTTCGATACGTACCACTGCTACCTTCCTGCTGATGCCGATGATCTGGCGACGCACTGCAAGTACTCGCTGCTACTACTGTCGACGAACGGTGACTGGTGTTTTCCGAACCGATGGGGAATGGTGGTTTAACTGCACGCCGGTTTGGCGGGGCTTGTCATTCGTGTGTGGCTTGGAAGCCTTTCAGGCGTCTTCCCTCGATGGCAAGGATTGACACGGCCTAGGACGATATCGGAGTGACCGTGCCGAAAGGGGAATGCTCCGAACGTCACCGAATTTCAAACCTCCTTCGGGATCAGTCGAACCAGAGGTTGGAATTAGTCTTTGATTTTTAGGCGAAGTAAAGCTTGATCCACTATGCCGAACCGAGTGGTCTGATTGAGCCTGACCAGTTCAAAATCGAAGGATCTGGTAAATAACACACGAACGCCTGATACATGTAACCGTTCTATTACAAACCTTCAATTCGATGTTTTCTTAATTGCATCATGTGATCGATCCTTCAGGTAAATTTAAACTATAGCGATGAAACCCACTGGGAAGACGACACGGCCATTCTTAACGGTCGATTGTTGAATAAGGTGTGCATGGCCACAACAAAATGGTGACACGGAGCCACGGGGTGATGGGGTGAAGGGTCCTGCGATGCTCAGCGAAGGCCATCGTTCACTTTTAAACAGGTGAGCGTGTAGACCAGGGCCACTGTCCTCCTTCACGAGGAACAATTGTCCTTTACAATTAGATATCCGTGACTGGAGGTCCGAGACTCGCCAACCACTGGACAGGACACCGCTCTCGAGCAGACGGCCCTAATCGCTAAGGAGAAATTCCCTTCCCGGTTTGACAGAGTGTGGCCTTGCCGTCGTCGACCGGCTTTGTCTGAAGGAAGCGCCTGTGCATCGGGACCAGCTCCACAATTCGTCATACCAGCCCATCACCAAAACACTATCGCACGACTGCCAACGAACGGTAGACGCGCTAGTCAGACCGCCATCGCCGTATTCGCCGGTAGACCAGTCAGCCTTTGATCGTCCACCATCGCCAGAATCGTTCTGAAATTTCAGCAAGGGCTCGCTTGACTGCATTTGTCGTAGTTGTCGTAAAAGTACGTGCCAGAATATTCAATACACCACACTACTCACTCCTAAGTATATTGAGGAATGTTTGGACAATATAGTGGTTAAGTTGATCCGCTCTGGGTTTTAATTAATTAAAAAATTTGAGTTTAATGCTACTGAGTCACTGTCGGGCAGAACATTAGTTTCATACAGTATGAGGCAATGGCGGCTTATCTAGGGTTTTCAGGTCATCTACGCCTTTCCTCTTCTCATGGATTGGGAGTTTGTTGCCACTTTTTTAGATTCTACCACCCAAGATATAGTCCTTTTTCCATATCAACTGTTACGCACATTCTGCTTCCACCAACTGGCTTGCATACAATACCCATACAATCGAAAGTTATATCAACCGGTGGAAACTAACGATTTAAAAATTAACTCACTACTTGACTAGCCTATTGGTCCCAAGCAAATCGATTAACGTACCCCATTCTAATTGAAATTCTAGTACTGCACTATGTTTGTTTTGATTCGCTATGAAAGTTGAGGGGTTAGTGGATTTTCTATGTTTCGAGGGGTGCATCGATTAGCTTGGGACCGAAGATAGTACCAGAGCTGAGCCAAAAAGTTGAGCACGTTTCTTCGGGACCTGGTGGTTTTAGAGTTACCTCTATGGTTATATCTCTGAAAGATTATAGATTACAAGTTTTCTTTTTTAATTGATATTTACATCGAGGTTCATCACTGAAAACTGGAAAGCACGTCAACTTACTTGCTTGACAGCATCGGTATCAACATTGTTTTCAATACATATAACAATTAGGTTGCTATGTGTATAAGATATTGAGCAACGCGAGTTACTTAGAGTTACTCAAAATTAACTCCGATTTTACTCATGATCGAAAGCTGTCTTGCCCCCAGGTATCGACGAAGAACTGGACCACAAAAAAAAATATAGAGGTATGATTGCTGCTAGTAAGGCAAAGCGGCTACAAAATCGCTATATAATGGAACGTTTCATCGATATTATGCGCATACTTTGCAAAGGTGGCCGACCACTTCGTGAACATTCCGAAGGAGCGGATAGTGTGCCACCCAGTTGGTGGCTAACTACGATCCTGTGCTGGAAAAACACTTGGCAGAAGGTGACAAAAATTGCCAGTACACAAGTAACCGTATTCGAATTGACATTGTTACATCGTTGCACAATGTAATGTTGCGGAACATTGCGAAATCCTTGCGAGGAAAACCAGTGGTAATCATTGCAGATGATACGAGCGATTGTGGGCACCACGAGCAGTTGGCGATTGTCATTAGGTATATTAATAATGATCGGCCGACGGAAACATTCGTGGGTGTGAGACGGGTGTTGAAAACAGACGCGACGACCATCTTCAATACTATTGCTGAGGTCCTGACAGCGATGCAGATTTCTTGGGAGCAGGTGTTGGCAGTATATTTTGACGGTTCCAGCCCAATGGCTGGCACCACTGCTGGAGTACAAGCCAAGTGCAAGGACGAAAATAGGAATATACTTTTATGAAGAGCTTTGAGTGTGTTGGTTTATTTTCTTTTGACAGATACGCGTATTTCATCTACTTCTTGAAGACTTCATCAGTGCCAAGTACTCAACACCACCGATCAAGATTGGATTGATCAAGAGCAATATACTGTTTGTTCACTGCTATGTGCACTGTTTAAACCTTGTACTTGTCGACGCAGTGTGCATGCGAAAGGAGAATGCGATTCTTATTGGTCATTCATGTCGGTTTGTCGGTGCTATCACCACCATCTGAAGTGACTTCAGCTGAATCCAACCACCAAGGCAACAGCATTGCAGCAAATGTATCATTTCGGTTAAAGCCCTACTGCTTGTATGGAAACCTTCATAGTGGAATGCGAACAGCCCGTGTACAGTGTGTTTTCACTAAAGGAATCGAAAATCTGACGAACATTCGTTTTTACTAAAAGAATAATCAAAAGCTGCATCTGTCCATGATGTGACAGCTTGAATGAGACAGTTAAAGATCAACATTTAAATGTTGACTGAAGTTCACATTTCTAAAAACTTTTGCAACATTCAATATTACAAATCCATATCTTTTGGTAGTTTGTAATGCGAAACGCTTGACTAATATTTGATTTATTTAAAATTCATCCTTTGCTGATTTTCTAAATTTAAATTCACGAAGATAATTGAGAAATTGATGGGTTCGGCAGGCACTTCTTTACCTATTATCGTTACATCAGGGGGAGGGAAAGGGGTAAATGAAGTAATTGCATAACCCAAGTAACATTACACGCTTTATAGAGGTTTGATAGCCGAAGCCGTCATTTCCCCAATTTGTAAATTTCTGAAAAATTGTTAAAATTTGATAATCACGTGGAATTACCTCTTCAATAAATGTAATAGATATCATGCACTGGAAACCGCTGAACAATGTAGAAAAATCCGACACCAGCAGTCGAGTGAAGACTCGAGGCATGATCACAATGTCACATTACCACCGTGGCAAATTCTTTCCTCGCAAGTCAGTGCCGTCGCTTGTCCATCACTTTTCAATCTTTTTTTTTTTCATTATCGAGAGAGTCAACTTTCCAACGTTTTATGCTAGCTCCAGCAGAATTTGTCCCCAGCACCAAGCACCACCAAGTGGGCATCGGCTGAGAATGGTCAAAGCATGCCTTTGTATATTTTCCTTCCCTCATCATCATAATATGAACGAACGAACCGCCGACGGACGCCTTTGGCTGATTCGATCTTGGTACGATCAGCAATTTTTGTGCGCGCTATGACGACGACGACGACGGCGGCGACAAGTGGACGAATTGGAAATGTGTTCTGGGCCGCGAAGGGATTCATATTACTACCGCAGTAGGCAACTCTCTAGTTGTTGGGTGGACAATTCCGCTGGTGGTGTGCAGTAGGCGAGCGTGTGTGTGCGATTGGGACCCCACAACAGGAAACCTCCCGGGACCAACTGTCACTTCAGTCGTTGTTTGGATCTCGCGGTGGTAATTTCGATGGGTGATTTGTAAGGGTGAACTGTTCCTGGATTGGGACAATGTGAGCACAATGTTGCAAAGTGTTACAGTGGTGCAGTGCAAGTGATCGGAAGATGTAGTGTGGAAAGAGTGATCTGAAGTCGGCGAAACATTTGGAAGACAGCAGACGATTGGTAAGTCTTTTTTATCATTAATTTCAACAATCGGTGTTCTCATCAGGCAGAATTCAGTTCAGGAAAAGACGGGTATTTTTTTCCGGAAAACTAGCTTCCTTGCATCGCTTTATCACGCGACCGATGGCGGTTATCGATTTGACCTGAATTTTTTTTTCGCTGCTTGCGGGCGGTGGGTTGCCGTGGTTACTTCAATATGTGCGCCAATAGGCCAACCACATGAGATTTTTCCTATTTTCATGGGGATCAATATTCGCTGCCCGCCTTCTTAGATGAAAGCTTTTGGGGAAGGGAAATCTACGTGGTAGCTTCAATTCTGAAGCTCGAAATTTAGCATCATTATTCAACAGTCCAGACAACATAGACGGCTTGTCGGAAGAGTAGGTACATGTTTTCTCGATGTGCACAGTGTGCAAGCTCTGTTGGGCTCCTCGAGCGCGCTTTTCACCATCAGCATCCAGCTGCAAGTCGCGTTGAATTATTGCCATTTGACTTAATAGAAAAATCATGAGTTTGCACTAAAATAGCCCTCAGCCAACCAACGGAGTGTCGTTTCCCACCTCGAGTCGGTCAGCCAGCATTCAGCCGGTAATGACAGGAGAGGTTAAATTAATCTACTTGCGGTGAAATGCCTGATTCGGACTGCGATACCACAATGCTGCGGTCAAGTAGGAAGAAAGAGATCAATTAGATAATCCACTGAATCACACCCGGTCCTGGGGGTATTATTTATGACACCCTCAAAGCGAATAAAAGGGCGCAGCTTCGTAATCCAATCCCTGCAGAATAACAATAACAAACCAAATCATAATTGCCCACCCAAAGCCGACCGCATCGAATGCAGTGGTAGTGTGGCTTTCTCAATTGGGTGTTCGATAAATCCTTTATCGCCATAAATTGCTTCGAATAATCCTTCTGCTTTTGTGAGGGGGGCTCAAATTGTGCCGAATCCTCCCATATGAAAGCGGAAGCGAAGCCATGGCATGGGTGGTAAATATTTTCCGCAACATAAACCGGCAGTTTTCATCCACAGCCACCGAAGAAGATACAGGACCTACTTCTTCTTCTGGCGGCGGATGTTCGTTGGCGCTGAGCCTCTTTGCCTTCCGCTTGCTCTTGATCCGGAATGTGGATGCTATTTATTTTTGGCACTTCACCAGAATGTAGCTCATTTGGGGTTTCCTTTTGCCAATATGCCGCGTCCTGGTGCCATTTCCCGGGGGAAAACAACCAGCACAGATGAACCCATTTGCTCATAATCTTTCAGGATGTAAGTCAATGTGTGTAACCTAGTGTAACGTTGCTTGTTTTAAAGCTACTTTGCATTTCCGGAAATGCAGCTATTATGCAGCGTTCATATTAATTGGGAGATAATTGTTGTACAATTCTGTTGGAGCTCTCTAGAAAATTACATAAAGAACAACTTTTGAATTTAGTTAGCTTTTTCTTATGTTTTATTTATCTTGCTCAATTTGTATGTAAGATGATCATTCCATTTCGGTGGTTAGATTTTTTTAAAACTTTATTATTTAGATTTTTTGCCAGTTGGCTAGTTCATCTCAAAAGTGCAAGGCTGGTAGCAGGTCACTTTTTAGTGACTTGGTCACTATTTTCAAGTCAGTCTCTAAAAAGTCACTATTCCTTAAAATCACAACTTGATTTGTTCAGAAATTTGTGGTAGAAAGATTAATTAAAAATCCGTGCGTAAAGTCTGACAAGAAGAGTTGCGAACAGACACAAACGTTAACTGTCCAATTGTGTTGACGGAATAACAAATTTTCAGAGGTTTCGAAAAAAGTTCTACACGCTATTTAAAAACTACCCAAATTTGGGTACAATCCACCCAGATCGATCAAAACTGAACCTACCAAAAATGGGTAAACTTTGTTGGGAGTGACAACTTGACGAATGAACAACATTGACATGTATCCGATCGACGTTGTTCATTTGTCAACTGTTTTGGGTAGGTTCAGTTTTGACCGATCTGTGTGGATTGTACCCAAATTTGGGTAGTTTTGAAATAGCGTGTAGGCCCAGTTGATTATTTCTAGACTAACATTTGAAAAGGGGGAATTCCAAAATCACCACATCGAGAAAATTGCTTTCGAATTTTAAATACCTAAATATTAATCTTATTTCACGACTTTCCATTTTCTGGATGATTTGCTCAGCTTATCATATAGTAAATAGTGTAGTCTATCATCGTGCATCAATGAAAACTCAAAAAAAGTTTTTTTTTTTCCCGTGGAATTGAGTAGAAAACATCATACGCCCTGCCCTGATAATTTCTTTCATGCTGTTACCCCCGGATCTTCCACCCTTTGAACTGCCAACACTGGTTATACGCCATGGAAATACACCCTCGGGATTTTTTGATTTTTTGATCCGCCTTGGTTCTTCACGGTAAAAAGTTGTCATATCTAATCCAAATGCTCTTGCACTTGACTTAAGCGCTATCCAGACTGAGCAGTTATAACAAGTTTATAATGGTTGTCAACTAATTGCAACACAGAAACCACCATCAAGATAGCGCTATAACATGTTATAACTCTGTAGTCTGAACAAGGCATTATAGTACGTTCAAACTACAGAGTTATAACATGTTATAGCGCTACCTTGATGGTGGTTTCTGTGTTGCAATTAGTTGACAACCGTTATAACATGTTATAACTTTCCAGTCTGAACAAGGCATTAGGCTCTGAATCATTTGGTGGATTATTTTAACTTTTGGTTAAATTTGACAGGTCGAAAATTATCGATTAACCCTGCTATCCGAGCGTGGTTACTTCTGACAGACAGACATTTTGACAACCTTCACACTATTTTGAGGCACTCAGTGACTGGTTGGATCGCACTCATTTTTGCATGCTGTATGGAGTTGTCAAAAAATGAGTAAACTGGTTTTGCTCCGATGAGTGGAATGAACCCAGATTCTGGGTAAATGGTTCTGATATCAATTTTTCCTAAGTTCAAAATGGCGCACTTTGAAGTTGTGAACGGGCGACTTTTGCGCAGTGAGTCTAAAATTAGTTTTTAGAAGTGAAGCAGTGAAAATGAAGCAGCTATGTAATAGCATAAAGATAACTCTAAGACCAGAAGGTCCCGAAGAAACGTGCTCAACTTTTTGGCTATGCTCTGGTACGTTAATGGATGTACTTGGGACCGATAGGAGTCCATTGTGAGCCAATTTAAAATCGTTAGTTACCACCGATAGGTAATAGTTTGGATGGCGAAAGCTATAAGTAGCTAGTCGGTGTTGGTATCAATAAATACTTAATTATCATTTCATAATGTTTTTTTTTTTTTTAATATTCTTCCTGTAAGCAATAATTTATATATAAAGCATTCATGGGGAATTCATTCGTTTCTATCGAAATGGGTAAGGTTAACTCATTTGATAAATGTCATCATCTGAGTAACCGTTACCCAGGTTCCTCCATAGGCACGTTTACTCAAATTTGAGTAAACACATGTTTACTCATTTTTGAGTAACTTCCCTTTTGGCTGGACTGAGGCGTTTTTGATTAAAAAATGAGTAGCCTTAAAATGGCGTGTTGGCTAAGTTCTTCTCGAAAACCGGTCGATCGACAGCACAGGGATTTTCAAACATACACTCAAAAAATTCCACACGTTATCATCATTTGTCTTACTCTTAATTTTGCGCTTATTGTGAAACGCATCCATTTCATGTGTGAATCTTATGCTATGAACCATGCCTGAACACTATGGATTTGAATTGTGACACACTTGGATTCTATGTGCCTCATATGGTGATATCAATAGCTTTGCACATCATAGTTCAATATTCTACTTTATCGACTTCTACTTTACCGACTCTAAAAATGAATCGACAAATCAAGCTGAACATTGCATTAGGTCCTAAGTAACATTGACAGATTCTCTTCGTCGACTTTCTCTTTGTATCCATACGGTCATCTTAAGACATTCCCAGGTATTTTCAGCACACATGTCGATAAAAGAAGCCTTCATCTAGCATCTAATACGACAAACACAACAAGAAACGATTATGTGCTCAAGTTATCAATGAAAGAGAAAGTCGACGAAGAGAATCGATCAATGTTATTTAGGACCTAATGCAATGTTCAGCTTGAAATATATGATCAAAACTGCCAGAGGCCAGAGCTTTCACATATCTTTTTAATGGGTCTGATTTGGGATTCGATCATGGACTGTTGGTTGGGGTGTACTGCTGTCGTTGTCTTCGTTCGATCTCACTGTGCCACGGTTGTTCTCATATATGAGGCGGGTTGATAGGATAAAGTCACAACTCTTGTTTTCGATGTTTACCTTTCTGAGCAAGCAATTCACATCTCGTTGAAATGCAAAACACTTTAAATCCATCTGTGATTCAATGTGCAATACACTTGAATAGATAAAGGGCGAACACGAAATTATTGCGACACCGAAAATGTCATGCCAATTTTCTTATAATGTTTAGAATCAAACCAAAATTTTAGGGTAGTTTTATACATATATTTACTTCAAAAATCAAAAGAAAAGTTAATCGATGGAGCCTTGAGTGTAAAATTGAACGCATTTTCGCTTGATGCCCTCCATCAATGCCCTCCATCAAAGTTACAGTGTCATCCGGTACCAGTTTCTCAGTTTTTTTTTTCCATTTTCTTAACATGTCCTTCTCGTCTTTGACTGTCTTCTTGCTCTTCCGAAGTTCCCGCTTCATTATTGCCCAGTACTGCTCCACCGGGCGCAGCTCCGGACAGTTTGGCGGATTCATGTCCTTTGGAACAAAATGGACAGAATTGGCCTCATACCACTCCAGGACACTTTTAGAATAGTGGCATGATGCCAAATCTGGCCAAAATAGCGGAGCTTCATCGTGCTGCTGCAAGAACGGCAAAAGGCGCTTCTCGAGGCACTCAGATTTGTATGTCTCGCCATTTACTATGCCCTTTGTCACGAAAGGCTCACTCCTCAGTCCGCAAGAGCAGATGGCCTGCCAAATGAGATATTTGGAGGCG